AAGACATGAAGACAGCTCGCACTAACATTTAGGGCATTATGGGCTGAGCCCTTACCCAATGTCCATCATCTCTGACGAGTCGCGCAACTTGAAACAAACTTCCACGAGCTAATCATTAGGGGTCGCAGTGCGCCTGAAAGCAACAAGAAAAGATAAATCGTAATAAAGCACTCCGGGTCCTAAAATCTGTTTTGAGACCTTCCACGACTGTCACGTTAAGACTCGCACTCCTCTACTTGCCGTCAGGTCGCTGTTTAACCTTGAAACCGAGCATTATTGGCGCATCCTCGTTGTATTTCGCTATCTTATTTTACAATTTCACTCCTTCGAGTTGGAATGAAGTGTTCGCATAATCATCTAACGTCTACTTCGTGATTATTCGATCACGGGGCTGTATAAATGTCTTGCGAGGGAATAATACTATCGTTGCACCGTTCATTCCAAGATAATTGTATTAAATGTCAATCACCTTGTAATTGGCGAAGTGGAATCTTTAAGAGTAGGCGAATGTATTTGTATTTAAAAATCGTTGAAAGTACATAGCCCTATAGAGCTTTATCGTATAGATAATAATAAACGTTCAGAATTTTAAGGTTTCGGAATCCCTATAAATATACAATGCATACGCATAATATTATGTAGCATAAAATTGAAAATCTATTGCTCGAGCTAATGCTATTGAACGATGGAATACCGTGGAATATTCGAAAGATACATCGTTTACCATTATAACCATCGTTATATCGGCTATTCTCGATAAAAAGTCCTGTTTGCCCAACATTTCTTTCCCACTTTTTTTGTTTTGTTTTGTTTTGTTTTTAATGCTCCTTAATGCAGTATTTAATCCTGGATAGGATTAAAAAAAAATAATACTCAGCGCTGTGCATTTAATAACGCTTCGATCGTGCATAAGTTTATGATATACGCATATGATGAATAGATATTGGAACAACGGGGCAACCGACTTTCAAAATACATTTTCGATGCATCGACACTCAGCTACAAATTATTATTCATTCGGTGATATTACAAACACAGTTGTTCTCTAATAACCAGGCGAGCCATGACCCCCCACCCTGCACACACACGCGCGCTCAAACACACGCACGCACACACCCATTTGCTCAAGCGAATCCATTTTACGTTTATTCATTCGATCGGACAAATGAGATCGACGCAGAATCCGTAATATTCCCAAAACTACGTCCCTCCTCTCTATCCGTATCTCTCCCTCCTTTGGCATAACTCACCTCTCCACCACCACCACCGCCCCCCCACCCCCCTCTTTATATGGCTTTCTGGACATAAGAGCGCGACTATGGCGACGACGGCGACAACGTACCGATAAGACATTACGGTCACGTTCAGGCTCGATTGATTTTCGAATGAAATCGTCCGCGCATAGAGCTTCCACAGCTCTCTGCCGCGAAAAAAATTATAATAATTCACAAGACTGCTTTGCAGTCTCGGCGCGTTTAACTCAACGGCCCTATATTATTTTATTTTACCCCATCTGATGTTCCCTTTTCTCACCTACTATCTGTCTCATTCTCTCTCGCAATTTGTCTAGCTCTCTCTCTCTCTCTCACTCTCTCTCATTCCCACCTTGCGATTTGCTTGAAAAATGCGTGGATTTGAACAAAAGGAATTTCCCTTATTTCTTTCCTTATACTATGCACAATATTTTTTGAAATTTTCAAAACGAAGTTAAGGGGAACTAAGTAATGAAAAAAGTATAGAAAGAATGGATGAAAAAGTGAACAGAAATTTAAAGGGAATCAAATTTCTGTTCGTGTGAGTGTACGTGACGTGCGTAGCGTGTATGTACGTTGGCGTCCAGCTATATACATATAAATTTCATATTTAAACATACGAGGGCTTTTAATAGTCATAAAGCGACGAAGTTGGGTATTGTTGATTCGCGTCGATATTTATTTCGACCGATTGAAAGAGCCTAAAAATATTTCAGGACACTGGATCGACATATATCTGCGTATTTTGTATACCGAATAGTACATTTTATAGAGATGAATGAATAAACGAAATCGCAAAAAAAAAAAAAAATATATATATATATATATATATATATATAACTGCTGGGCATAGAGCACGTCTTCTGCTTTCTCAAATTAGATGTTGTCAAGTGCCAAGCAACAATATCGTAAATTAATGTTAAAATTTCACATTTAAAATTATTATGGTAAAATCCATTTTGTTATAGCCCGTTAAAAACAGTGTGTTTTAACGACATTTATGAATTAACAAAATACAAAATACAAAATATATCTATATAAATTGTTCTCTATTTATTCTCATAATTATGAATATTATCTAGTTTGTATTATGAAAGAAATTAGGATGAAATAAGTGAAAATATTTTGTTAAAGCTATTGAAGGATTAAATGTTATTTAATTATTTAAAATAAAGCGAGAAATCCAACTTAAACGTTACGATTCATTATGGATGCGAGTAATTTATAATCTATGCATTTATGTAACACGTACTGATTAAAGAATATATACATTGTTTAAATAAACACGTATAATTGACAATTAAAAATTATAATAAAATTATAATATTATATTATATCCATGCTATAGTTTAATAAATACAATTTTACGAATGCAAAATACTGCACGGTATGAAACTTGGTATAAACTTAATTGTTTTACATTTTATGTAAAAAGCGTAACAAATGGAACAATCGCCATCTCGAATTAATTAAAATATATTCATTGGTTTTTCGTTGATAAAACTACAAAACAGAATATATAATTTACAAAGTTATTATCAATAAGACTATATATATATATATATATATATATATATATATATATATACATATAATACATAAATCATGAAAAATGTTATACCCAATAAAATTATGTATTGGTAAAGATTAAGAGAAATAATAATAATAGAAAGATAGAGGAGAAATAGTGATGAAAAATATTGATAAAAATCACATATTTTAACGTATTTATACACTGAGAAATATAGCACTATTTTGACAATTATTTAATTTTGAATTTCTTGGTTTAAAAATGCATATCACAGTAATATTACGTTATTATGTTAAAATAATAAAATATTATTGAATATTAGTAGTGTATTACATAGAAAAAGTGATATATAAAATTTTTTATACATTCACTTTTATATATGATAAAAGTAGATAGTTTGAATAAAATATTGTTTATATTTATTTTTAAACTTTAATTATATTATCTCTTTTTATTTTTTCTACTATAGAATCAATTTACAATAAAGAAAGTATATCTAAATTTAAATACATTCTTTTCCCGTGTTCTTATAGATTCCTAGGCAAAATATATCATATACTATTTTTCAAAGAAGCAACAAATATTATTATTATTTTATGAAGCACATATACTTTTATGGTGGAAGGTTTCGAATCTGCAATTTTCTGAACATAAAGCCGCACTACTTCGCACGTGCGATTGAGCAATCCTTTGGTAACTCAATATTTTGATTTTCTTCACGCTCGTTGACAGTGCTATTTGCATAAAATAAATATACGTGAAAATAAAATCATTTAGAAAAATGTCAACCATTGTGAGTACATTAGAAGTCATTGGTACTTACGATCTCTGTCACAATAATGAATTATATAATAAATAACATTTCTCGCGTTAAGGATAAAATTCGGTGAATTATATTTTGCTCAATACATACCTAAGCCGACAAATTATCTTTTAGTTAATTTACTATATTCAAGCATATATAGTTGCTGAAGCTCTATATAGTTTTTTCATAGTAAATTGTACAAGCCGTATATAGTGCGATAATGTAGATTTAATGCATTGGTAAGTTAACAGTAGAAATTTTTTTAATTTAATCCAGTCACTAACTCTCCAAATATAATCCGATAAAATGTGACAATGAATTACTGTTCCGATATTTTCAATATTCTGCCATGAATGAATACCTTGGAAATATTAAAGCAATGTAAGTAGCTACTTTTACAGATATTAAAATGATTTTCGAACATTTCGAACATCGATATTTATGCAACATTTTTCGTCTTACGAAGAAAAACTGGCAACGCTTTAAAATTAATAAACGAATATGTTATTTAAACATTTTTACTACCATTAAAAGTATATGGGATTTTTATATATTCTCATTAATAAAAATAGTCCAACATTTAATCATCTAAATACAGAATTTCAATTATTATTAATCATACTTTGTGCTTTAGGATTGTAATCTCAAGGGTCTTAAACATTATGATAACTATTATACTTCATTAGTATAAAAATAAAATACCCTGGCAGGATTATAGTTTCTTATTATGAGAGATCACAATCTTTTCAGACTCAATTATTCAAGTCACACAAAGATAATAAAACAAAAAATATTAATTCAATCGTGACTTTATATTCGATTGATTATTTACATTAATTCACTATATAAATAATCAATAATAAGGAATTTCTCAAACGACTATAAGCCCCCCGTGATCGTTCGTTGTTGGCGAAATGTTTTAGAGATATTGTGAGCGGTAGAAATATCGTAACCAAGCAGTGGCATAGCGACCGCTAACCCAACTGACGTCATCCTATTCAAATAATTCCAATGTATACCAATAGAAGGAAGAAAATGTTTCGAATGCACTATTGACATACCATTTTTCACACGACACGCGCACCGCGACCCGAGCATCGCGAATCGATCGTCAATGCCCGCCTTTACCCATCCCTAAACATCTCGAAACCGACTCAAATTACAAACCAACTACGAATACATGATGAATTATTAATCCAGCACACCGGGAGGTGGGTAGCTGCCTCGAGCCAAGGTACTTTATAGGATCGGTGAATCGACTCCGAGGAGCACGCTGTATCGGACGGGCAATCGCGAGCATAAAATTTACGACCCCGTGAAGGGATAAAAGCGCGAGGGAGCGGGAATAAAAATTGATACCAACGGCCCTCTGCTTAAACCACCGGGAGAATAAACTTACCCGTATGGACGTATGCTACAGGACTTGAACAGTCAGCATTTGGACCCAGTGGAGGTGTTTCGCGGCATCCCGTATGCGGCGCCGCCCATCGGCGACCTCAGATTCCGGGTACCCGAGCCGCCACTCGCCTGGAAGGGCATGAAACGTGCAGACACCTTCGGCCATGTTTGCCCTCAAAAGCTCCCGGACATACGCAACCAGACGGTCGCCCTTCAGGATATGCCCCAGGGTCGTTACAATCAACTCACGCGGCTCGTCAAGTTCCTGGGAAATCAGAGCGAAGACTGTTTGTTTCTCAATCTCTACATTCCCGGTAGTGGTAAGTTGTCATTGTCCTCTGCACTCTTTTAATACTTTTTATGTTACGTAGAAGTCGACGCCATTCAATGGTTCAATCGATAGCGCTGACCTTAATTTATTTTCACTTGATATGACGTAAAGCTGTGCTAGGCTTTGAATCTATCATTTTTTAGTCATATCTCACATAATTTTTAGGAGAAATAATACGAAGAGATTTAACGCAAAAAAGAGAAAGTAAAATCGTTTTATATTTTACGGGAGAGGGAAAAACTTTTCTCTACACGTATTGTGTATTCGTTTTATCTCGAATGAGAATTAAGAATTCATTAAGAATTTCCAGCTAATAATGTTAAAAAAAAATTTTTACATTTTAAGGTATTGTGCCATTAATTGCCGAATGTTCATGTAATTTAAATACGAAAATATTTAGTTTTAAATGAGCTGTGCGCTCGGGCATTGAGAAATTAAATCTTCAATCGATGAAGCTGCTATTGAAAATCTGTCAATAAACTTTATTCAATTCCAGACTTATATTCTAAATATTATGTCGGAAAAATGAAAATATTACCTTCTTATTTCACGTTCAATTTTAAATAAGATATTTTATGTGAATTTTTATACATGAAATATGAACGTTCGAAAAAGAAAATTGTTCTTTAATATAAAATACCATGCGCACATCCACTGTATCTTATTATGGCCTAACTAATGGATAATAATGAATAATCGTAATTCATTTGTTCTTAGATAATATAATAATGAATATGTGAAGTGAATAAAATGAAAATTGTTATTGAATTATAAGAATTTTGGTTCACGTGCGCATAATCCGCTGCTGAATATACAATAATACATCCTTCGGTACTCTTAAAACCAACAATTTATACTATCAATTATAAAAGTTTTCGTATTATAAAAAATATCACAATAATGATAATCACGTTTGACTGTTTTGATTCTTGTATTCGGTTAAAAATTGATTGAAACTCAAACCATTAAAAAAAAGAGAGAAAAATAATCTTTTAATGCAATATTGTTCAGCACTGATACTGTAACTAGAATATTTTTTAAAAAATTTACATTATAGATATATATATATATATATATATATATATATATATAGTTTTATGTATGTAACTATTTTTTTCTATTATATATCTTGAATTATTGTAATTGTCGATGACGATATAAATACGATGACAATTTATTCTATTTATTTACAAAACAAAAATAATCAAAAATACATGCTAGTATATTTCTCTCTCTCCCTCTCTACCTTTGCTTTCAATTCTTTTTGCGTTTAAAGCTTTTAAACATTTATTTCACATATTTATACACTTTTCTCTTTTTCTATAATCCACATAGACAATGTAAAAGGAATATTTCATTTCATACTTTTATTTAGTAAAAAAAAAAAAAAAAAAAAAAAAATCAGCTCAGTTTGTGTTTACAGTTTTTAATATTATTTTCATTGAACTTTGACAAATACATATCATATATGCTGGAATATTATACATGTTGATGCCTAGGAACAAGTAAACAATATATTTGTTACATACAATATTATCAGATATTAACAGTTAAGCACATTACCTAATATTCTAAAACTTTATGAAAACTTTGTAACTAAATTTCAAAGAGTTATCTTTATTATCCAATATTTATTAACTCTCCTCCATTAGTCAAGCAGTGCATACGTTAATCGAACACATCTTTGGTTTTATTGCAACTTGTTGCAATATTTTGCGTCGAATAATCCACATTTTTTACGTAAAGTCACGAATTACACACGTGAATATCACGCCTGTGCGTTTCATTTCATTGTGATCATCGCGAGGCCATAACGCCGATCACGCAAACCTATAAATGTAATATTCAATAATCACGTATTAGATTTGGATTTTTGTTTTTTTTTTTATTTGTAAAATAGCGAGCGTTTTCCCGTGCATGGCATTTAAAAAGTTGTAACGAGCGAAATTCCAGATTGGACTGTCAGCCGAACAAGGGACTCACAATTCTGTCACATCGAACCTCGTATCGATCTTTGTTTTTTTTTTTTTTTTTTGTTTTTTAACACTAAGGTGAAGGCTTGACACACTCGTAGTGGTATGTAGCAGTAAACTCTTTGTGGGGGAGTTGATATACGTTAAGCGTGGATCATGACTAAACAGCGACAATTAATACATTTAACAACATTATAATTAGGATTACTATTATGATGACTAATCAAACCAAATTATGATCAGAGGGATTAATGTTCATGTATACGACAAGTTCATTTGTCACGTTGACATTTATTTGACTTGATTCTCTCCACTACTTATAATAAAATCAGTCTTTTTTTCAATGTATATCTGGTCTTCTTCCTCTTCTAATGAAATGCTCATAAACTATATAATTTAATTAATAGGCAGAATGCAAAGATGAGCTTGAATTGGTATAAAATATTAATGACGATTAACTGGACATGTAAAAACGTATTAATTTGTTTAATTTTGTTTATCGTTTTTCGTTTTTCGTTTTCTGTTAAAATTTACACTACTCTCGTTGTATGAAAAATATTTAACGCTCAAAAGAATAAAATCTGAGGTTATAATAGTAAAGAGGGCCGTAAAATCTTGACTCTCGCATCCCTCGCAATCATTCCTCACGATATAGCCATTAACAAATAGCTCATATTATTACATTCTGGGGCTTCATCTCCTCCTCATTTATGCCGGACTAGCAAAAGCAAATAGAAGGTCCCGAGAATGACGGGCTGCTCGGGCGAGTAAAAATAGAGGGATAAAGGGAGAGAGAGAGAGAGAGAGAGAGAGAGAGAGAGAGAGAGAGTGTGTGTGTGTGTGTGTATGTGTGTGTGTGTGTGTATTTATCAAATACGAGAGAGGCGTATTTATGCGGGCTGAAAATGCACGATGAAGGTAGGAACGCAGGCCAAATTTAATTTTACCGGTACTAGTCCCGTAGTATCTGCAGCAGCGCCTCGTACATGTGTGCGCTTATATGCATGCAGCGAGGCGATGAGTTAATAATAGCCGGCGCTGTTGCACTTGCGTGCTATTTTATTACGGCGTCAATGGCATTGTGCGTGTATTGTACGCGCAGGGAGTCCGAAAAACCTGTCCAAACGTGATTAAAAGCTTTTAATTCGACAGGGAACGCGATGCACGCCTGGTCAGCCGACGTTCCATTTAAAATCCCCTAATTTCCCGAGTCGCTCGTCACTTTATACTTTTTCCGCGTTTTTGTGTTTTGTGTGTGTGTGTGTGTGTGTGTGTGTGTGTGTGTAATGCAGGCGGCATTACCATCGTTCGCACCTGCGATATTCTTTTATAATAATAAAAGAGAGATGAGCATTACAATAATTAATAGCAGGAAGAAAAACTATTATCTCGTACTTTTGCTAATTTGCGTGATAAACATTTCTTGCTGCTCAAAAACGTTATCAAATCTCATATCATATTTTGCGAATGTATAAATTACGTATACATAAATACAACTTTCATTCAGCCTCGTACTAGTAATGATTATTCTAAATAATTAAATAATATTTATTGTCGATAGAAATGGCCAATTTTACAAAACATTTTATAAAAAAAGTAAGTAGAATCTAAGAAACACATATATGAAGATTTAATTAGTTATTAGCTATCAACAAAATCATTATTTATTTGACAATTTGTCGTTTCTTGTACGAATAAAAAAACACCGCAAGTATTGAAAATCAATTGAATTGTATAAATATTTGATGAAAACAAAAATATTATTATATATCTATCTTGTATCGAAAGTGAAGCCGACTTTATTATTATTGCAACGTTTGTATTATTTATTTTCTTTAAATAATTAATTTTCTCAGTTACATGCTGCGTACTTTATTTCAAAATAAATATACTTTTTATCAAACTTGTTGAAAAGCTTTTTAACATTAAATGGCAAACTTGTGCCTAGCAGCGCTAATGCACATAATAACCGTTAATATATTCGAAATTCTTTCAATCTTTTAATTTACTCATAACAATCCCCCGTCATAATAATCGAACGCGGCATCCTTTAGGAATAAATAAAAATTGTATGAAAAAACATTAAACTTCCATTTTGCATGATATCAAAATTAAATCAGTTTTCCAATAGATTCCACTCTCAACCCAATCGATTTATTATCATAAACCGCAAAAATAAATGAGCCAATTTACAAATGCCGATAAACGCCGTTCTCTCTCGACGATTACGCACAAAAATTGCAATACCACTGTTGACAATTAGATTGTTCAGCGCCAAAAGAGAGATCCCTCTCCTCTCATTCCGCGACAAAAATCGCAATAAAGAAGCAAGAATTGAATTGCCATTGAATTACGTCGAGGACTGTCATTTGTATAGATAATTACACTTAGCTGAACGAAACAAAAGCATAAAAGAGAATTTAAATCATTGGACATCCGAGTCTCGACATTTTAAATACTTTACTTAAAAGTAATCGATTATGATAACAAGTACCTCGACAGAAATTAAATTATCCCAAAATCTATAAACTATTGTTCCCATGTATACCCATGCTAATAGTTGCATTCATATATCATCAAACTCTCTCTCTCTCTCTCTCTCTCTCTCTCTCTCACTCAGTCTCGCATTAGAAAAGTGCAAAACAGGCATTTATACGTAAACGCAGTACTCCGACAGAGAATGAAATCTACTAGTCCGTCTAGTACAAAGAATTATTGTATGCTCGCATTTTTATCATTTGTACTGTAAGTTACACAATTGCATAAAATCTGAGAATCTGCGAGTACGCGTCCGAATGAGTGCTTAATTGTTCTACTGAATTTTTCTCACGCTCGGTCGACCCACTTGTATGAAGTATACAGGAACGCACGAGCGAACGAGAACAAAGGATGCGAGATTCTGGTTAAACGAGACAAGATGCGCGAGTACGATAATACAGTGAGCTGCGTATGATTATAAATCTTTAGATTGCTATTAGTTGTAATAAACAAAACAAAAACAAATAAAATATTTGGTTGACTGATATAATTAGTATAAATAAGATAGAATTTAAATTAATTCAACAAGATAATCGAAGATACTCCAAAAAATTATTACAAAAGTTCATCATATCCGGACTTTGATAAATATTTCAACGCTTTTTATGATAAATATAATACTGTCGATTACTTGTAAAAATAACAAAACATAATAAGCGATCGAAATTGCATGAAATTGCATTTTTTTTTTTAATAAACTCATATTGATGTAACTTATTTTAATAACTAATCCTACATTTATACACATTGTATTTCATGCATACTAAAATCATTTTACCTATTACGCGTAGAATTTGATATTTGTGTGAGCATCGAAATATAAAACACGTAACTGATGTACAGACACTAATGTAATAAAAAAAAAAAAAAAAAATATTATTCAAATCCTTTTAAAAATATGTATGATCAATTGAACGATATTTCATTGTTTGCTATTTATATGCCATTATCAATAATATTTGCCCACAGTATAAATAGTATAAATGCACCCATGCAATTCAATGGATAAAAATTGGAAATTTGTTGTCATCTTCAATTGATTCACAAAAATTTGGTATTTTAGATTTTCGAATTAGCCAATTACAAGACTTATAAATGTTTCCTTTTAATAAAAAAATGTTTGTTTTATATTTATTCTACCTCTCTGATATTCCCGTGAAATTTACAATAAAATTATTCAAAATTTTCTATTCTTACATTTATTTGTATCTGGCGACAATATTCTATGGCGATCAAGTATATACTATTTAAAGTAAATAGTATAGCCGAATGGTTAAAAAAAAAAAAAAAAAAGAATTAAATTGATTTTTAACAGTATAATGTTTTATGAAAAAATATCAAAAATTTTAAAATATCTATTTGTTTTTTTAATTCTTCGATTTAATAAATAAACTCGATAAGCTTCAAATTTAAAATATAACATCGAAAGTGGAAATTCAGTCGATTCTGTTTGTCTAATAATCGATAATTTTTTAACGCATTTTTATGATTTATATTGATATTGACAGGTGTAGATTCTCATAGTTATTTTTATAGAAAGTTTTTAGTAATACAATGTACAGTTAAAGCGATGAAAAAGTTAAATAACGCTTTGTAACATGGATAAAAGGTAAAAAATAAATTGCTGACTCAAGCATCGGGGCAACGTGTCATTATCGTAGAAAAAAAGCCAAGAATAAAATTCTTAGAAATAACGGTAAAATCGTTCCATAACGAGAATCTTCCATCGATTTGTCAGCGCGTAATCCAGATTTACTTTTTCTGACCATTTTTCTTAGCGCGAGTATGCGCCAACAACAACATCAGCAGCAGCAGCAGCGGTAACGACAGTAACGACAGTAACGACAGCAGCAGCAATAGCAACGTCGAAAAAAAAAAACCAAACTCCTCTTCCGTCTCTTCGCATCTCAAGCTTGGACATTTCGATAATCCAAGTAATCGTGCGCGTAACGAGGAAGTCGCTTAAAACGAAAGCTCTGCTGTTAAGACGTAAATTATCGCTTTCGCCTTAATGAATTTTCGCATACGACAAAATCGTTCGCTTAATTATCCTCCCATGCTTTTCTTTACGGAGAAAATGGCGAGCACTGGAAAATCGCACGCAATTACCAACGAGACTAATATACCCGAGCAGAAGAGAGTGAGGAAGAGAGATGAAAGGGGACAGTCTCGAGCTTGTGCTAATTAAATACCAAGAGCCAGCTGCTTCTTCGCTAGATTTTTGCTCGCTAGTACTGTGCGGCTAAAATTTCCCACTACTTTCCATACTGCTTATGACGTAGTATTTAAATTAAAAGATCATTCGTTAGAAAGTAACGGGTCTTATCCTCCCCCCCCTCCCCCTTCCCCCTTCCCCCTCCCATCATCCTCACCCTCACCCTCACCCTCACCCGCCCATTCCAAACCTCCCAACTCAATCACCCACTCTGTCTCTCACACTTGCTCTTCATGCCAAAGGGCTCTTCCCTATTCCTATGTTTTACCCAAGATCAACAGAAAATAATATTCTGCTTGCCGAGGCCAATAATATAAGAAAAATTTAATTGCGTTATATTAAAATTTTCATATCCTTTCAGATATCATCTTAATTCCAATGTGAATATTAATAATTTCACGCATTCGTTTTGGCAGATACATTTTCCGAGTTTTCTTTGAGAATATTAAAAAAAAAAAAAAAAAAAAAAAAAAAACACTATTTGGAGAATAATTTTAATTACTACATAATTTTATATCTCTGCTAATTATAAAATTTGCTAATATTAAAATACTTTATACCTTATATCGTAATTTGACCTTTGTATCAACTACAACAAATATTATTTGACAAATTTTGTTCCTTTCAACGTTGTAAGTAAATAATTTATTTTTAAAATATGTTTACTCATAATCAAAGTTACAAGGTAATTTAAATGGTAGAATGGAATTTTTAAAGTTAGAATACGTTTTTTTCCTAAATCTTAATTTGTATATGTATAACATGAAAATATAAATAAACGTAAACATCATTTCATAAATAATAAAACTAATTAGCACAATAGCATATTCGTCATTTAATACGTCATTATTCATTAGAAAATTAATGCCTCTAATTGGATACCTCAGAGCGATTAGAAACGAATAATGAAATATTATTTTTTCATTAATTGATTGGGACATATAATATTGTTGTTAAATTAATGTCTATCCTTGTGTATGCAAATGTAACTGTCATTTATTCTCATATTGTCATAAAAATTATAAATGATACAGTGCTTTACATTTAGATAAGTAAAATTACATTACATTAACAAAAATTTAAGATATGAAAAAATGAAAGAATATGTTGGATCGATATATTACGTAAAATATCTTCTTTTTTAATTTGTATAAATTTAAGTATAAATTTTTAAATACAAAAATTATCTACGCAAATTATTTTCTCATTAATTTTCATTCGATCCTTTTCAAATAGAATAATAATAATGATCATTGCTAAAAAGTCGTTAACATATATAAATAAAATGCTGGTTTCTTTCAATATTGCCAACGTATAAAGCCTATTCATTATATATGAATGTATTAGATAATGTAGCAAATACAATTATGTATATTGTCGATGTATGTTTCACATTGAAATTTCAACATTGAGATCAAAGCCATTGACAACAATATTATATCAAATATAATGCAAATGCAAAGTTTATACGATTATTAATTTAATGGACTTACTACAGAGGTTATTTATAAATTTTAAACATTATAATCGGTCGAATATTCTTTTAAATTTCAAATTCACGCTTTTATATATATATATATTCTAAAACGAACTATATTTTGGTTTTTTTTTTGTCTCCATTGTTTTCTTTTTAATCGCTAAAGAAAGGTGGCTGTGAAATTGCTGCTATTTTTATTTCGATTATTTTATATCGGTTGCCTCAACTGTAGAATTCCAAATTCCACATTCGTATGTATACGATATATATGCAATTTATTTATAAACATAGAATATTGAATTTTTTATTCAAGAGAATAAATACAATTGAATTTAAAATAATTTTTTAATTTATATCAACAATAATGATTGAAAATAGTTAATAACATTTAATTTTTAGAAAAAAATCTTTTAAAATCTTTTATAAGCTGATTGATCTATTGTTACTGGCGTCGTTCAAATAAAACGATTACAAATAATTTGTAGAAAATTATTTTGTTGCTTAATACAATCTTTAACAAACGGATTAATAACTATTACAATTAAAGCCCTCGATCGATTAGTCATTTGTCACAATCATTATTAAGGGATATTTTAAGTTTTTTGTTTTTATTAAATGTATTCTGTGTCTGTGTAATAGAAATAGATAAGAAAAATTGTCAAATACTACATAACATTCGAGCACTTCTTTATTAATCTATTTATAATTTGAACTTTATTACGCACCAATACTTAATAAAACATGCCAAATTTTAAAATATAAACAAGACAACAAGAACATTTGAAAATATGGTTTGAATTTAACTAAAAATTTTCTAAATGAAATTGAAAATATTTCATAAGTTCGTGTTTTAGTGCCACAAAAGAACCGCAAAAATATCGAATAAAAGCATAATTTATCCAATAAATTTATCCAATAAACTCGGCTATTTTATATTTGCTTTGGTATAAGAACGATTTGGAAAAGTAAAATTTAAACTTTACAACTAATAGTTAATATTAAACGTAATGATTTCAATTGTAAGTCATAACCATTAAGCTTCAAATGCACTTCTAAAATGTAAAATAGCTTAAATTATGTATTATTAAAATGATAAATAAATGTGAAAAGTATTTCAAGTTAATTAATAGAGATCCGTGAGACGCGATAAAAGCCTGTATTCTTTTGAGCATGACATCAGATGGTAATCAGTAAAACGGAAAAAAAACAGAAAAACGAAATTTAATTAATCTACACACTTTGCGTACAATGTTTATTTATCCTCCTCAATAAACTGACAATTGATCTGATTCACCAGATTCAAATGAATAAACTGTTTGCCAACTCATTAATCCTACATATAATATATATGTGTGTTGCAGGTGCACGAGGTCTGGAAGCGCCTTACGCAGTCATAGTTTACATCCACGGCGAGAGCTTCCAGTGGGGCAGCGGCAACATTTACGACGGCTCGGTCCTGGCCAGCGCTGGCCACGTCATTGTCATTACCCTTAACTACCGCCTCGGGATCTTGGGTACGTTGCGATACTCTCTGTATTATCCGATCGCGCGTTACAATCCTCGAGGCCTTACAAGCAACCCGGCGACAACGCCCCAAACTCTTACGTGCCTCCATGGGCAAGTAGTACGAGCACGCGTACGAGCTGACAGTTAGAAAAGTGTGTCGGCTGAAATTTCCTCGAGCTCGGCGCGCTGACATGGCCGAACTTTCGGAATTACAGTTTACGGCTTTCTAATTATGCAGGATGAAGTTACGTTGGGAGAAGGAAAAATTGCCCTGCCAACGGAGCTGCCACGTGCTCCCTTTTATTCGAAAGAAAACAAATTTTTTCAACTTCATTTTTACTTTTTCTACCTTTTCTATAATTTCACCCCAGGCGAAGTTTCACTCTCCAAACTTATATTTTAAATGTCTTATTTAATCACCTTAAAAGTAAAATCATAATTTTATTAGATTTCCTACGAACTGAAGGAAATATCATTTGTACTCTTCGAGCCACTTAACTATATATACTTGAAAGCGCATTAACGCATTTACTTATATTCTACGGAATTGTTGTATTATCGATAAATTAACAAAAAAAAAAATAAATAATAAATAAGCATTTAAAATTATTATGGACATATATTAATCAATTATTCCTGCCTTGGTTCGATAACAACTCATTTTCATATTCCTCTTATTAGTTTGGAAAATTACCCAAAAATTTCGTAAAAATAATCTTTATCTTATTATAAAATTAAATGAGATAATTATAATAGCAAAATATTGAATAGTAGTGGTGTATGAATAGCAGCAATGCTTTCATAAATTTATTAAATGTCTCAATTCGGCTTTACAACCCATCTATAATTATCAATTTAATACTATAACGTCAAATTTGTTTCAACTTATTCTTATGATAATTACTTTCCTCGATATAATTGAAAAACTTTCGAACCACATAAAATAAGCTACTTATTTAGATCCTATTAATAATGCAAAATCAACTAGTACATTATTATTAAACTGGAAAATTTGAAAAATTATGACGACGAATTGATAAAGCTGACAAGCTAAAAGTTTTTTTTTTTTTTTTTATAAACGTTTTGTAATTAAATAAGTGAAATTAAATTACTCGGATATGATTGTGGAACGAATGGAAAAATACTGTTCGTGGAGAATAAATAAAATCAACGAAATGAGAAAATTATGGAATAAAAGAAAAAAAACGTCGGGTATAGAATAAAATATACATGCCTTGTCTATTTATCGACGCGTCACCGACAAATAACAGATAAAAGAAAAACAAGAAAAACATAAAAATTGCAACATAACCACGAGGAATGTGAACGACAGGCTTCCTGAGGACAAAGCCAATAACCGACTCCCCGGATTCGACATTGAGTGGTAACCTCGCCCTCCACGACATCGCCATGGGTCTCACGTGGGTGCGCGAGAACATCGGCGCCTTCGGCGGTGATCCCACCAGAGTCACTCTGATGGGCCATGATACCGGCGCCGCCCTGGTGAATTACTTGCTCCTAGCGCCCTTCAGCAAAGGTAAGCGCGACCTGACAAATAACTCGACGTTCTTTGTGCGTTCGCGCGCGCCAGAAAAGTTGACCTCAGCTTTGTTCGTCTTGCGAGCTTGGCAGCAGCGCGAGACCATTTTACTATTCTCATGCCGTGGGAAAATTAACTGTCGTCGCGTGTCAGTCTCTTCTGTCGTATTTACGAGGACACGCACGTCGGTGTCAATTAAAACTATCCTATTGCTGTATGCTGACTGCAATTATGGCAAAAAAAAGTTGGCACTTTTTTGTTAAGGTGAGGCGCGAGTTGCACGTCGAAATAGATTATAGGAGCTTGACAATATGATGCTACATAGAACTACCATAATGGCCATTTCGAGTGACTTTTCCTCAAACTTTGCAACTTTGACACGCATTCGATACTTGTTAACTAGCCTGTTATTGTCAAGAAAAAATGTTAACGTTATGCACGTTTGGTTCACTTTTCTTATCCAGATGCCATTAAAAGAGATTTTGAAGTTTAAAGAAATTTTCTACCTCCATCCTGTAATTCTCTGAAAAAAAAAATTAAAAAATAATAGTAGTAGCTCTTCTTCTGTGTGATAACTATTATTTTTCTGAAAGAGATAAACTTTTCTTATTTAACAACTGCAAATAAATTAAACAATAACGTAAAAATTAAATGCTTATCTTTAATATAATTAAAAAAATATATAGTGACACTCACCCACATACTCTTTTCTAATTTTTCTCTTAACTCTTAATTGTAAAATGTTTCAGTTACTCATTACAAACAAACAAACAAATACACACACACACACACACACACACACATATATATATATATATATATATATGTATATACAAAAATTTATATTGATAAAAGTAGTAGTACACTAGTACTTCTTTACAATGAGGCATACATTATTCATAAATGTACAAATTTCAACGACACAAGAAACTATTTACAAGTTGTTCAAAATATTATTCGTATATGAAACTAAATAAAATATACAAAATAGTTGATTTACAGTAGAACTTGTACGAGTTACATATGGACAGATTCAATTTCGTATATTTCTTTGTATTCAATTTCCTTTACTTTTTACATTTATCGTATAATAATTATAACGACGCTAAATGTCGATTGATAATTATTAGAAAAAACGAGTAAATGAATCGTACAAATAATTTTTATGAAACTATAAAACTTTCTTGTTTTAATAATAATTTTAATGGAAAACGAAGCAGTTCTGAAGTTATATTGCAAGCAAAATATTAAGTAAAGTATTAAAACATATTTATATAACAATAAATATGCAATTTAAATGTATATATATATATATATATATATTTCTAAATAATAATAATATAATAGGTATAAACTTGTTATAAAAATTGCAATATTTTAATTATATTTAACTTTTTTTTAAATTCTTTATGAATCAAGAATTAAAGCATTATCAAATAAATATATATTTGTTAAAATTCAAATTCAAAATTCTCAAGCATTTTTATTTCTATTCTTTTCAATAATTTTATTTTATAATAAATTCACAATAGCGAACATTAAAAACTAAAATTATCTCTAACTTTATATCTATTTATCAAGTTTCGGATTCTTCTTTATTAGATGAAATGTTTATACATATACAAAGCGAAAAATATGTTATTAATTGAACTTTATAAGTTTTCCATAAATGATGAAAAAAATCTCAAATCTTGTAAAATGCGCGCTTAAAATGAATTAAACGTGATAATTAGAATGAATAAAAATAAATAACAATGTAGCAAATGTTCGATAAAAAGAAATTGGAAACTTCATGGCTTTGTCATTACACGCGAGTGTATAAGTAATTCAAGAAAAAGTATAAAAGCATCGACGGATTAGCTAAACTAGGCATTCATAGCGAAAGTCAAAAGTTCCGGCTTCAATTATCCTTCAATTTTCTAATAATTTCTAACTCTAGTCAATTCGAACTATACAGTGTGATTTAGATTTTTCGAAATTGCTTATGCAATAATTGGTTAGAAATTTATTATACAAAAACTTATAATTCGATAGGATGTAAACAAGCAACGTAAAATCTCGATTTATTGAAAAGTTTAATCAAGATTAACTAGAATGTAATTTATGTTACTCTCTATAGAGTAAGATCTTTCATAATCTCATAATTATAAAATCATATCGATAATTGCAATTGGTATTATTATTTAATTAGGTTTTGTCCAGCATCAAGCGTCCTTTTAATCACAAAAGCCATTCATATTTAATGATATATAAATAATATTTAAAAAAAAAAAAAAAAAAAAAAACTTAATATAAAAAAGAAATTATAAATCTAGTGGTCACAATTATTAATAATAATAAGCACGCAATAGACAAATATTTAAAAGACATAACACGAAACATAGTATCGCATTACATTTAATCCCACGGCGTAAAAAGTAAAATTTACATCGGAATTCGATATTTTCGGTACGGGGCATCGTAACCGTATCCCCATACATTCGCGCCAAACTCTCGTTAATTAACTCGGTTAAGTGTACCGGCACGGGTTACTTTACATCTCCGCTGTCCTGAAATTATTTTGTATCCCAGATTTATCCGTAATCCCCCTTAAAACAAAATCTTTCGATTTTTCCTTCGCTTTTATAAGCGCATAAAAATGCATAGAATATAATCAAAGTGTTTACATTGATTGTGTTGTGCGAAAGGAGAAGTCGAAGGTTAAATCATTGTGGAGTTTGAGCATTAACGCTATTAACATTAGTTGTAATAGATAATTATCGAATTACAAAGTACAAACGCTTTTAAGTTCATACCGATGACAATATTAAATCACGAAATGATGTTTTATGATAAATATTCACTCAAACTTATTTTAAGTATTGTATTGCAAATAAAACATAAAGTCCATTTTTTGTGCAAAATTATGAAAAAATTTTATTCACTCTCAATTTTCAATCAGCCAAATAAATCTTGTTTAATTCAACAGTTATTATAATAAGAAATTTATAATCAAATTAATAATCTTACATTTTATTAAAAACGCCGTGAATAAAGCAAGTAAAGCAAGTAAAGCAATATTGCTGTAAATATAGATTTTACAAGAAATTTTACTAGAAAGTAAAATTTAACATGATAATTGAATTTATGCGATTTATCTATTGCATTACAGTTGGGATTGATGGATTAAATTTTAAATAATGAATAATATAAATTATATAAAATCTTGAGCATAAGCATACTTCTCCGTTTAATTTTATTGTATCAGTTTTACAACGCTAATAGGGAAGAAGGATTTTCATCTCAAATGAAGTTGAAACGTAAAAATTAGATTTCTTATAATTTAATACCAGCTGAAGTTATAATACATTTTTCTTTTAAATTAAACATACTTTCCAAAGTCATAAATTATATTCGAAGAATTACCCGTAATGAAGAAACACACTGCTCAGCATCATGAAAAAGATGATATTGGTGGAAAAAGAAAATAAGTTACAAGTTTCCCCTATTACTTCCACCCTTCTACATTTTTCTTTTTGCGATCCCCTTACACAGTTGTGTCATGCACATATATGTGCACATAAGGAAAACGAGCCAAACTAATCGCGCACGCGCACGAAGTCTCTTTTTACTTCTGCAAAAGAACCTCTGATTAATGAATACTTCGTCTTTAACTTTTCCTCTTTTACTTTGTCGATCTTTGTCTCCTCTTTCCTCCTAAATCATGGTTACTTTTTTTTTTCCTATCACATTCTAGTTGACTAACGAATACATTATTATCGCTCACGAGAGTGTTGTTTGCATTAAAAAGTGGATCACGTTATTTAGTAACTTGAAAATTAACGTAACATTAATACTTTATTGAATAATATAATAAAAATAAAACATAATCATAAAGCAGTCTTTGTAAAACTTTATTATGCATATTTTTACAAATGTACGATGTAAATTTTGGAAAAATGTTTTCAATATTGCATTACTGGCATTGTATAAATTACGTCGAGAGCGTATATGATTCGAAAATAGTTCTTCAAAAATTTTTAAGTTTTTTTCGCTCTCCATATGAATAGCCATAGAAGTACGTAAAGAAAATCAAGAGAAAAAAATTGTGAAAATGGTAAAGAAATAATTGAAAAAAGGGAAAATTTTTATTAAAAACAATTTATAAAACAAAAACTATTAAAAATCGTCGATTCATTAAAACATGCCTAGAGTCGTATTCTTTGAAAAAAGAAAAAAGTAATATGAAGAAAAACTTTGAACACACAACCAGTCGGTAAATAAATTCAAAATATAAGACACGAATAAACATTTCCTTCCCTATAATTCATATTATGTCGTAATTCTTTTGGACTTTAATAACTTTTGTATCTAAAAGGAAATCGAGTTTTAACAATTATTGAGTGACGTTAGCTAGTCAAAAGTCATAAGTAGGGAAAAACTCCCATTCTTGCACCATTAAGATAACTATTATTGTCTGAATAAAAGTCTTACTGTACTGAAATTAAATGCAAAACTCCGTCTTTAATGGATGATATAATATAATCTCTTCCTGTTTAATATTTTCACTTATAATTATTAATAATATTGATTGTTGTTTAATTTAATACTTATTTTCATTTGTATTTTTCTTAACATTGCTATATAAATACGTGATACGATGTATGCAAAAAAGTATTTTCACAGTAATCTGATCAATAGTAAACTATCCAGATTAAAAATTCTACTACTACTTCTATAGAATTTACAAAATGTATTATATGGCTCGTAGAAATTCTTCTAATTAATTTCAATTGTCGATTTTTAAGAACCTTATGTCAAGACTTATTGATTATTTACTTTCCATTGAATGAACATTCAATTGTTTTTATAAAAGTAAAAATGAATAAATCATTAAATGAATTGATCACAGTGCTAGTAAGGCGAGAGAGGAAGAAATATTTACATTATTTCTTTATTTAACGTCGCATAAATTAGAAATCAGAAAATTAATGTCTTAATATATACTTATTATTTCC